AGAGCGATATTATTGGTTGAAAATCAAAACCGGTTTTCAATCAGATACTCGACGAAAGATAAGTTGTCAGAATCAAATGTAAAATGTTACGGGTCACTGATCTCCGTCGTGTATCAGAATTCTCACAGAATGTAAACTAAGCAAAATCCCCAGAAGATGTCGTTAAAGCAAGGCTTTACGAATATGCAAAGTGTGTAGCTGCAGCCTCTCGAATTTGTAGACAGGGGACTTACAGTTCATCTGGAGAAAAGATCGTTTTTAGTGAAAATATTTGCTTTTGAATTTATAGCGAGCAGCTACATGTCTCACCTTCACTCGGAAGTTAAAAAAACTCGAAAGTCTAAACCTTTTAGGACAAAGAATTATCTAATGTTATCGTAGAATCTTCGTCGAGTATCTGATTGAAAACCGGTTTTRATTTTCAACCAATAATATCGCTCTAATATCAACGGACCAATCAGCTGCAACATTCATATCTTGAATGTAAACACTGACATGGAAGTGAGATTCGCTATCCGTGCCGCCAGAGGCTGGTTTATATAAACTACAAAAACGAGTAAATCCAGCCTCTGGTTCCCAGGGTATCGTCAATACGTTTTTAGTTTCATAATACTTTCGCGATCTCTTTTGCACTTTGTTATCCTCAATGGTGTGAAATAGGTGTGTAAGGAACGGTGTAGTGCTCTGCCAACTGAGCTATGAAGCCAACTAATTTGGCAAGTGGTCATTTTATTCGGTGAAACCATCCATACTAAGGAACACATGATGAAGTAATGGTTCGAACTGCGGTGAATAAATGGTAGAGCACTGCACCGGCATCGCAGAAATTTTTTCGGGTTAATAATCGCTTAGATTATTATCTAAACTGAGACGATCATATAAATTCATTACACATTTATTCACCGCAGTTCGAACCACTACTTCAACATGGTGTGAAATAGTCAGACATTCTAATATTCCCCTTGAGATTTCAAGGACTATTTTCATTTCACAGATCTCTTACATTTCCATGGACTTCTTATTGAATAAGATAGTTTACAACATGAGCGGCCGTGTTGTATGGTTACAATCTTGAGCAACAACATTTTGAATAATTATCCATCCCACATGGAAAGCAAGCCATCTGTTGAATAAGTCAGTTCTGTTATCCGTCTTTCAATGCTTCAAAACCTAGTGAAGGTCAATGATGCGATACTAAAACTCTGACCTTTGCTAGTTTGTTTGGGTTGTCTTGGGTTACGAACGTGTTGTAAATCTTATACAAAACTAGTGTTATATCAAGGGCACCAGGACAACCATAACAGTTTTTGAATGATATTACGATTTGATTTGTTATAGCTTTGAGTATCTTAGAATTTCACTTATCATCATCATCATTTATTATTCATTTCGACCACACAAGAATACAGGGTATGTTACCAAGGGCGCTAGAACTGAAATTATGACTTATAAGATCCAAAAATTGCTTAATTTATCCAACATAAGATAGTCGATAATAAATTGTAAAGTTTTACTTATCTGAAATATACAGATATGTCCTCTTAGACACTAAAAAGCACTTGATTTTACGAAATTCATCCAAATCATCGTTACTCAAGCGGTTGTTGCTGAATTTAYTACCGCTGTCCTTGTTGTACCAGCCACTGCTGTCTCGCCAGGAACGTTATTCATTAACCGGATTAAAATCACTTTGCCCTGGTGTTTGATTACAAGAGAGAATATCAAAGTATAATACAATAATTGGTGTAACAGCACAAAGGCAAGATGTTTGTTATATGTTTGATAGATTACATTTATATGAAATTAAATTATGAATACAAATTAAAATTACTTATATGACAATATTATTTGCTATGATTGCATGATATAAGTTAATCGGTAACTTACAGAGCTACATAGTTCAGTTTGTTACTGATTAAACTTAAATAGAGGATTTAAATTCAATGCAGTTAGGACTGGCAACTTATAAGATGCTCCTTTAGATTCAATTTACTGTAAAACTTGCCAAGGAGGAGGCAGATCTTAATTTGGAGGGCAAAGAATTCCATATTTTAGGCCCTTGATAGGCTACAGTAAACAGTCTAATATTAGTGTATATCTTGAGTGTTCCCTTGGATAGATAGATAGATTTTTGTTGGGCAATTTTCTCCATTCCTAAAGGTCAAAAGCTAACTAAAAGCTGCACGTGTTCATTTCAGTACGCCACGTTATTTAACGGCCGTTTATTACGTACTGGTACGTACCGTCCGCTTTTGCAACCGCGCGATTTAATCTACGTCACTAATATCGTTAATATTATGTTAAGGAATTTACCTTAACTATATTAACGATATTGGTGACGTAGATTAAATCGCGCGGTTGCGCGTTGTACGTACCAGTACGTAATAAACGGCCGTTAAATAACGTGGCGTACTGAAATGAACACGTACAGCTTTTAGTTAGCTTTTGACCTTTAGGAATGGAGAAAATTGCCCAACAAAAATCTATCTATCTATCCAAGGGAATTCGGGATACACTCAAGATATACATACTCAAAGCTATAACAAATACAATTTTTTTTGTGGTTTCGCCACTTTTATTTGAATATTCATGTTATTACAAATTCTTGACATTTTAGCTAAAGGGCAAGAAAATCTCAGCAAGTCCAATTACAAGTTCGTAATATCATTCAAAAACTGTTATGGTTGTCCTGGTTCCCTTGGTTGTGTCAGATTTACAAGGTCAATCACCTGATGAAATGGACAGCACTTATTGCAGTAATAGCTCATGCATTATTAATAAGTTTTATAAATCCCGATAAAGCTAGACTGATGTTTTATTAATCAGTTCTGTATCAGATATTAGCCTCCTTCGCAGGCAACTCTACTCCGTGGGATTCCTGTGTTAAGGCAAAAAAGCTGCCGGAGGGGGAGCGGTTAGGAAGGAATGAAAAGCGGGAAGAGTTCTACTCCTCTTATTCTTTAATTCCTAATCTCTCGACACCAGTTCTTCTCGGTCAAGAATATGAACACAGGAAGACCAAGAAGAGAAAAATGTTCGTTTCCGATGGAGTAGCCTGCGACGGAGGCTAATCAGATATATAGAACTGATGTTTTATTAATCAGTTCTATATCAGATATAAATTAGCGCTTTATCGCAACCCAACACTAGCAAAGGTCTCAGCGACATGATGTCGCATCATAGACCTTTGCTAGGTTTCAAAACAGTTTGAATTAATATGCAGACATGCAGTATAGCATAGACTAGCCGTTCTTACGTGTGGGATCAAAATTCTCTCAATTGTGGCAAATGCACATGCTCAGTAGAAGTTTAATATGCATAATCACTGTTTTCGCATTTTTTAGCTTTTTTCTAAAGTGATAACAATTTCTGGATGTTGGAGTTCTAGAAGTAGTATAAAGCACTCCTGCTCGTTTTTTTAAACACTACATATAACATTCGGGATCATTACATGATTTTGAGGCTAACACTGTGTAAAAGAGAGCGTTAATTGAACGAGTTTGTTGTACGATTAAGAGTGGATGTCCGTAATCATCAAACATTTTCGAAAATAAGTGGCAAACCTTGAAAAATTGATTTCGCTCATACTTATACTATTGATAGGGTAGAGTGTCCCTATAAACGCTGTGTAGTTAGTTCGGCTGAATATCGTGCTTTGGGGCAGATATATGCAAATTAGTTGAGGGCACCGAAAATTGTAGATTTCAGGGCAAATTTTGGTCCCACTTTGCGAGCTCGCTATGTCAATTTGAGTCAAGCACAAAACTAACTTTGGATCATTGTAACGCAATGTTTTGTTTACTCTGCGCTTGCTTTTCAGCCCGGTACGGCGTTTATTTCATACCGAAATAATTTTATTTTCGAAGACGTTATTTTTGTCTAGGAAAAGTATACCATACAAAAATACAATACAATACAATATAATGCAATGCAATGCAATTTTCTTTGGGCAAATGTTTGTACGCGACGCTACGTGACGCCAAAGTTGCTTAAATATTTTAGACCTCAAAGTTCGTCACTGAGCTTAACTCAAAAGCAAAGTTATCAGAAAAAAACTTTATACTCAAAACATACTAAATCAAAAACTAGACGCCCCTGGGCTGTGAAGTCGGACTAGCTATTTTTGAAAATTGATAGACACGATTGAAAAGATTATGATGTTATATTCTGTCTAATCATATGATTATATTATGAATGTATGTTTTAATGTATGTTTTATGTTACTCTACCCTATCAATAGTATAAGTATGAGCGAAATCGATTTTTCAAGGTTTGCAACCTTTTGTTTGATTTTTACGGACATCCGCTCTTAAGGGCGTGTTAATAGTTCCTGATATATAATGCGGTAATCAACAGGTCGGATGTGTTGAAAACATATCGCACAAGATCGGGTCAACTGCCAGATGAACATATGAATCCTAAAGTGATCGTGGTTTGTAAAAAGAGTACATCTCAGTTATTCAACCAATGAAATGCACACATTTATACAATAACTCATTCACGATCCTCACCGTCACTTAGAGTCACTCTTTAGTTCTCGATACAATCTGATACAATGGTAGCCTGCGTCACATCCGAACAAACCACGGTAAGGTCCCGTAATTTTTTCCGGATGTGGCGCAAGCTAATACAATGTTTTTTACTGTAAAATTGTTTGGTTTACTTTATTGTGTAATTAATCAGATAAAAATCATTCAAAAATAATTTCGTTGGGAGTCAATGAATCTATTGATTTTAACCAATAAATCTCTTTTTATCCAGGGCAAGAGTCTTCGATTTTGTGGATATCAAATTGCATTTACAGGAGTTGGTTTGTTGAATAGTTTTAATGCTAAATTATTATATTATCGATCTCGGCCAGTAAAATATCTTAAAGTAACAATTACGTACTAACAAACAACTTCTCGGTTTCCAGGTATGATTTTTGTAACAATATCTGTGTTATTCCCACTTTTGTTCATTTTGGCATTGAAGTATGCAGATGAAATCGTGGGGATATCAGCAGTGACCATACTTAAAGAAATCGTTCTGTTTATTTTGTAAGTTTGGCACTTAGGTCTTCTAAGACTACCCTTCATTCAAACAGGCTAAAACGTTCACACAGGGGGAAAAATAGGAAATGATTGTACTACCGACATCTCGGAATTTTGATGGGCATGCCGAATTGACAAAAATAGTGAAGGACTTTTTTTGCTGTCTCGGAATATGAAAAAGTGACATAATGACAAAAATATACTCTAGACAAGTCATGCGTTCTAATGTAAATGACTAATAGATGAAAGACTTACCTGTGTAGTGGCTGGCCTTTTGGAATCACTGTGATAACTCCTCTGAAAGATGGTTTGGTAATGAATCCAAACATGCTTTCAGTTCGGTAACATTAAACGCGCTGTTCATAAGGTCAAGTTTGACGTTTTAGATCCGGGCGTTTTAAATCGCACATTGCATTCTGCTATTGCTTTTCTATACTTGATTTCGTTCCACTCATACTTCTAGACATTCATAATTATGCAAATTTAGTGATAATTCAAAGAAAAGATCTTGATATTATCATGCAGATATGGTTCTGACTAGGTATGTACATTCATATTCCAGGGCAGGCACTTACCACCATATTCGTCACATTTTTTCAGTTTGACTTTTGGTTTCTCTTTTTTTAATACGACTAATTTCAGTGATTTAGAATCCATTCAGAAACGCGTTTAAAAACAATTCAAACTGAGTGAGAATTCGTATAGATTTTGAGATTTTATTTCTGTGCACATTCTTTTTCCAGGCCTGCAGTAATCGTACCTTTCCTAATATGGCTTGCATTACTGCTATTGTGTACGTTTGTATTTCGTGACAGAACCTACCCAGATCTGACAGTTACTATTGACAACAGGTAAAGCATGTTTGGAGCCAGCGTGGTCGTTATGAAAACTATGCACCGCAAGTACCCACGTGTGTATATGAATAGACACTAATAATACGCCCAACTAAGGTTATTCCTTTATAATTATGCATACACTAGTGTATCTCTCTGGCTTTTTTTAAACAGCTGACCAATGTCATCTGTCTTACAGGCGTTTGTTTGACATTATGTCATATTTCTTCTTCTTCTTGAATATCTTGGTDGGGATATGGTCTGGACTTTCTCGTGTTGCAAAAGGTGCAGCTTTGGGCTTGGTATTCCTGTGTCGACTTGACAGGACGTCTATGATGACAGGCTATAGGAAATGGGACAGAGGTGAGATGTAACAGCATCAAAAAAGTTTGAAGTTAAAAGGTTATGGAAAATATTATCTTTGCTTGAAGTTTTATTTCAACCATCCAGCAAAACAACAATGAGAACTACAATGTATCGCTCGAATCATCACCTCAAATAAACAGACTACGCTCATACTACGAGTGCCCTTTGTTTGCTACAAACACATTCAAGACAACAATGAGACAAAATACTTTAGATTAGAACTATTTGACATTATACTTTTTTTGCTTTAAGTTAAAGGTTAGTTTTATTGTCAAGTATGCTCGACTTCAACCACTCACTACTCGTTCGTAATGAAAAAGAAGTTTCAGTGAAATTTGTTCATATAGGCCTGAAAAACTTAAAGTTAACGATACTTTAATTGTAAACTGTGATAGCAACATAACATTATGTTGCTATCACAGTTTACAATTAAAGTATCGTTAACTTTTATTATGACATCAATGACTATGCGAGGGTGAAATCACGTTCATAATTTGAAGGACTTCAATTAGTTTTGCTGCGCAGGTTTCACGCCGGGAATAGCAAAGAGAGCAACTCAGTGACATTATTTTTCAACTATACTCTCATGAATTTATCCCGACGCAAGCATGCGTATTCAGCTATAGCCGAAGAGGCTTACAACTCCTCAGTGCCAAATTGAAGAATGTGCAAATAACGGGTTCATGATCAACAGCACTAGGGACATCAAAATTAGGTTGATGATTAATACGTTTTCTTGTTTTTCTAGGTTACATGGCTTACATTGGCTTTCTTAATGTCCTTGTTGCATTCAGACATCCCGTCATGCTTTGCTTCTGCCAGGTTTTGATTGACGAGCGGAAAAAACTGTATTCAGGTAATAAAAACATGAAAGATGACAAAAGAAAGAGAGAAAAAGGAGACTAAATAGGAAAAGAAAAAAAGGAAAGTGATGTCAAAGGAAAGTCAAGAAAAATGAAATTGAGAGAATAGGTATAACATTGCTTAGAAAGAATGAAGCCATCAATATATCGTAACTTATATCTGATCAGAAACCTACAAGGGACTTGAAATGTGTAACGCCAGGTGCGGATACAGGGGGGGGTGAACTGGGTGAACGTTCACCCCCCCCCCTTTTTCCTGGATAAATTGAATATAGAAATATTCATATCAAGGAAATAGGGAAATAATTGGTTGATATTTCGATAAACAACACTTTTCAAAAGGACTAACACTTTTTAGCGTCTCGGGCATCTAAGAACACACATGCATTCGCTGAGCTTTGGTACGTTTGGCAGGAAAATTAAATATGTTAACTCTTAAAAAATCAAGTCATCCCCCTAAAAAAAATCCTGGATCCGCCCCTGAACGCCCGTACATTTCTTTAGTACCAAGCGCCAGAATATTCAAAGCTCATTAAAAATTCGAAAACGAATGTTAAGAGCATATTTGGAAAATTCGGCCGTTGGATAAGAGATTTTTAAATTCTTAATTCAAATTTTTAAATTCTTAATTTAAATTTTTAAATTCTCAATTTAAATTTTTAAATTCTTAAAAGTCCTGTTCTGGTTGGCTATAGGGTAAATTTAATTGTTCCAAATAAGGAAATGTGATGCAAATTAGATTTGAATATTCCAATGGTTGGCACGGCATTACACGTTTCAAGTCCCTTATAGGTTTCTGATCTGATCTGTAGGTTTGATCACAAGCGACAGACCCCGCAGATCAACAAGAGCACTCAATCGGTGGTTCTTAGCAGTTTTGCTGACCCGAAACCCAAGTCTTCTGAGATACAGAAAAAGAGATGTGTTTGGATCCAGGGATACATATTCCTCAGCTACAGCTGCAGACATGTCGGCAGTTGTTTTAGAAGAATGGGAAATGCCCAGTGAAAAGTTAAAGAGCACTCAGTTTTACTGACACTGATAGAGTGATATAAGTTCATATGATAGATTCCTTGATATTTGATACCTTGATAGCTTCAAGCAAAATAATGTTCTATAGATTAACAAGGATTTCATTAGATGTTATTTGATGTGTTGTCCACCAGACAAAATCTAAGGAGCAGAGAACTTAACCATTGTTATTCATTAACCCAAACCCTAACTGGTCCCAAATGTTTAAACTATTGCCTATTCCGAAATTCACAAAAGGACTGGTGACTAGGCACAAACTCAAAATCTTTTGAAGCAATCAAAAAACTGCAGACATGAGGACAAGAAAGAGCATACTAAAATTAGTAAAGCTGCTGAGTTTGAGAGTATAATAATTACAGAGTTTCAATTTAAAACTCGGAAAAATTACAAATGTATGGAGCTCTTGAGCAGCGTCCCCAAAAACCATACATTCTCTCTTATTGACCTTACTTTTACAAATTTGAAAGAATTCCTACTCGGTGAGTATTTAACCAAATATGCTCAAACTTGACAAGAACACTTATTTTAGTGCAGTCTTTCATGTGGTGAGGTTCAGTTTTCGAAGAATGTAATATTTTCACACTTAACCCCAGTCTCCTTTCGAATTTCGGAATGGCCAATTGAATCAGCAAACTGCACTTGTGCCTACTTCCTAGTCATTCTTGTATGCAGTTCCTTCTTGGAATCCTAGTTTGCCTACTAGCCATCAGGGTTTTTTTAAGCACAGATGCAGCTCACGCTAGCTTACCCCTAGTTTTCATCATTTATAGTTGTAACAATTAAGTTCCTGAGGATAAACATACATATAAAAGCTTGTGTGTCAAAATAAAAACAAACAAAAATGTCAATGAACTTTCAGCATTTTTTGGCTTACTATGTTGTTTTTTACATTAACTTTAATTTAAGTCACTGACTTAATACAAATAACTAATAACTACTCTACAGTTGTAATAGTCTACAAATTGTTCATATTTTTTAAGTG